TTGGTTCTGCTTGTAAAGAAGTAGTTAAAATTCTATGTTTGTTACAGATGTCATTTTCCGAAAATGTAGTCAGTTGGAATGTGGGTGAATTCGTGATTTCCTTTTGCAGAACCTCAATGTAATGGATATTATTAGCAGCCTTATCAGCCGGGACATAAATATATTCCTTGGCGAGTTCTTTTGGCTTATGTTTGATACAAGAAATAGGGGTATTATGGTTGTTGGTAGGAGTAAAATGTTCTTTAAAATGGTGTATACGTATATCAACTATGTTCGTTACTGAATTAAAAAAACAATTTAAGGTATCCTTGTCAGCTTTTTCTCGTTTTATCCATTTTGAGCAGTAAGTACGGAGTGAGTCGTGAATGATGTTACGACAATCATTCCAATTAAAGGTTGACGGGAGACGATATTTAGGTCCTTTACTGAGGAATTATTTCAACTTTCGGTCAAGAACGATGTTAAGGTCTCCTGTTATAATATGGGAACTGGGGCCATAAATGTATTCGGAATTACTACAGTGAGTGTATTGTCACTGATATTTACATCTTTATACACTTCGCAATAATTCAAAACATATTTCCGGGTAGATTTTGTGTAAACATATAACAAATAAGAGGGAGTTCAGTATTATCAAAATAGCCAGGAATTTGTTCTTTAACAGAATGATCATTAAAAATGCCGCCAATATTTACAAAAATCAAAACCTTTATTGTCATATTTAATTTTAATAAGATATTTTTTATGATCTTCAGGTCGATCAATTTTGGGAAACTGTTTAGAATAACAATATGCAATTATGATCTGGACGATTTCATACTTAGGACTGCAATATGGAATTGTCTTGCAATCCTCTAAAATTTGATTTAATTCATTAACAGGTAAAGAACAGAGCTTGATTAACAGATAATATCTGCCGTTGTTTTTTGAAATAGAAATTAGGTCCGAAATATTTGTATTGTGGGTACGAAATTTTCTTTATTGCGATTTATGCTACGCCCATGAGAACGGTTTTTACGAACAGTTTTAGAAACTTTATCCAAAATGTTAACAAAATCGGTTTTTAATATTACCAATTCCCGTGATATTATCATTAAGACCGAGAGGAAAGACTGTCTGTAATTTTTTAATCCAATTTAATTCAATTATTTTCCGTGATCGTACAAACTTTGAATGAGATTCCCCAGGCTGCTTATTTACTACTTCTAAAGGTTGAACTGTTAAATAACTGTTGTAATAAATGTTGTTACATTCCAACAAAACAGATTTAATCAATCCGTTGACGCAAAAGATCCATTCAAACAGGACGACACTGGAACCACTGTCGAAGGTAACGTAAGCTATTTAAAATTGCTAAGGGAGGTTTTGAAAGATAGCCTTGATGAACTAAGTCTTAATGGTATTTATTAAAAATGTTTCCAACCATACCGATCTTATATGTTAACAATGGCATCTAATATGTTAACAACGATATATATTAACAATGACATCTAATTTGTAAACAAGTTAACAATGACACCTTATATGTTAACAATGACATCTAATATGTTAACAATGAAATCCGACAACGCATTGTTCATGACTCAGTTAGCGGATATATATTTTGTAAATTATTTTCATTTTAAATTGTTTCTTGTATTTCATGTCTACTTAAAATATCAACATTAGCACTTATATTTTTTTTGTATATGGAATTGACAATGGAAATTGGGAATGTGTCAAAGAGACAAAATAGAAGAAAACAGCACAAGACCACATATGGGTCTTCCACGCAGCGAGAAAATCCCGCACCCGCTTCAGCTGGCCCCTAAACAATAATGTATACTACTTTGGCGAAACTATACGCCACATTAAACTCCAAAACATGTAAATAAACAAAAATTAAAAAACACACACCACTAACAAAGGCCAGAGGTTCCTGACTTGGGACTGCCGCAAAACTGTGACAGGGTGAAACATGTTTTGTGAGATCTCAACTATCCCCTTACACCTATAGTCAATGTGGAATAAACAAACACATAGCAATATGCAGAGTAAAACTTAGTTCAAAAGAAGTCAGAGTCTAGAATAAGTAACAGAAGAAACTAAGAAAAATGACAATAATCAACATAAATCAATGGATAGTATACTGCACATTGCTAGTAAACGAACAAATTTTGCTGCAAACGTTGATCATGTTGATCATGCTGATATTTTAATACAAGTATTTATAAAAATATGAAAATATATAGATTCGCTAACCGAGTTTATGTGAGTGAAACCGTGCAGTTAGCATAATGGGATTTAGAGGGCAGGGTCCAAGGCCCCCCTTTTGTGTGAAATATTTTGTGGATTATTTAAGGAATCACTGGAGCGGACCCCCTCTTATGGCAGTCAGTGCCACAAATTTTGAAAATATTATGAGGATTAAACATGAATAACCTCAATTAAATATTACTTTCGGATGATCCATGGTGAGTCTTTAAGTAGACATGTTAGCATGTCGGACTCCGCGAATGTTTCTTAGAGTGACTTTAACCTTTAGAAAGTCAGCAGTGACGGATGCAGACATTTTCATAAGTGGGGACCCCCCTCAAGTCATGCTACAGTGATTCCCTATATCATCAACCAAATTTTTTCCACAACAGGGGGGCCTGGACCCCTTGCCCCCTTATATCCGCCTCTGGTCAGTACACCGTACCTACAGATTTTGCTGAAAGTTTACTGCATCGATTAAAGGATTACGTATTTCTAGAGTTGCAGGAGGAGAATCTAGATCCTGTTGAACAGGTAAAAGAGCCAAACGTCCGTATCATGCAGATACTGAGATAGGATTATGAAATTAACGATGTCTTCTCTTTTTGTTTCGTTGAGTCGTAGGAGTTTAGTCTAATTGAAGCCGAAGAAAACAGACAATGCAAATACCAAACAGAAAAGAAATGAAACAAAGAGATGAAACAACTGTCTCACAACACCCTATACAGAAAACTAAAGATTGAACAAAATAAGCCCACAAAATCGAGGGAGGGGGATTGAGTTACAAATGTAGGTTCTCCTGAATGGTAAACAGTCTTAGATACATAATTTGTTTTATTAGTTCTGCTCCAAGTGACAAGCCTGTAATTTAGTGGTTGTCGTTTGTTATATATCATTGTTTTTCCTTTATTGTTTTCTAGGTAAATCAGGCGTTAGTTTACTTATTTGAATTGTTTTACATTTGTCATTTCGAGGCCTTTTATATATAACTAAACAGCGGTATGGGTTTAGCATATTTATTGTTGAAGGCCGAACCATGACCTATCGTTTTAAACTTTTACGTCATTTGGTGTCTAGTGAAAGTTGTTTCAATGGCAATCATACCACATCTTTTTATTTTTATGAGGTCAAGAGTGACAATATGTTGGTAATGGACCCATTCCGATCCCGTGATGCTTCTGCATACAAAGTGTTGGGACTATAAGGGAGCTACCGTTTGATTTTTATTATGGGGGGCGGGGGGCTAGGATGAAAAATGTTGTCCTGCCTTTTTATTTTTCCCTCTATTTGGTCCTGCCTTTTTATTTTTCACTCTATTCGGTCCTGCCTTTTTTTTTTAAAGTTTATCCTGACTTTTTTTTTACCTAAATTGTCATCCTGACTTTTTTTTGCAAGTGTCTCATCCTGCCTTTTTTTTTACTCAAAACTCCTGTCCTGCCTATTTTTTACAAATTTCATCCTAGCACCCCCCCCCCCCCCCCCCCCCCCCCCATAAAAATCAAATGGTAGCTCCCTAAGTGATACTGTACAAAAGTTCTGCACCGATCACAAATCAAACAATGTTTTATTATAATAGACAAATGATAGAGGTCAACGCCAAGGTCAGTGTGATACTTCTATGTACAAAGTTCTGTTCTTCTAAGTACTTCTGTACAAAAGTTATGCACCAAACACAAATCACTGATTTACTCTCATAGGGTCAAAGATCAAAGTTAGGGTCAGCTTAAACTGCCTTTGATATTTAAAACAACCCCATCCAATGATGCATCAGCATACCAAGTTTCGTCATCCTAATGTGTACGGTATAAAAGTAATGTGCAAGACACGAATCAGAAGAGGTTTTACTATCATATGGGGTCAAAGTTCAAATTCAAAGGTCAGATTGACCGGACTTTAGTATGTTGCACACCCTCAGCCAATTATGCATTTGCATATCAAGTTTGATCAACCTATGTTCTATTGTACAAAAGCAAAATGCGCATGACACAATTCAGACAAAGTTTTACTATCAAAGAAGTCAAAGGTCATGTGTATGACACGAAGTCGGATGTTTTCCATAAAAGAAAAATAATTTTATGAAAGGAATTGCATGGAAAGCAAGCATAGTTCTTTCTCTCAATGTTGAAGGGTTGTTTTAGCTATAGAATAAAGAACAGCAATTAAATTACTGATCCTTTCCTTTTCTCATGTGCGAGTAGTTATTCTGTGTCCTATGTCATTAATCCATGGTAGGCACAGAAACCCGGCCTGTACTCAAGATTCCGAACCAGGACTTTGGTCAGAAACCCAGAAATATAAGGAAACTTCAAATATCCTGCAAATCATTTACCACTTATTAAATTTTCAGTATGTATTCAAATGTTGGTCATAACTAAAAAGATCAGAATCTACCTCTAATGGACTAACACTATTCTGTGGATAATTTAATATTTAGTTTGCTTGGGCCCTTAAAACTGACTAAAGGGTATGGGTTTTGCTCATTGATGAGGACTGTATTGCTTACAACCATAGCATATGGGATCTGTTGGATAGTTTTCTCATTTGGCAACCATACCAAAGCTTCTTATTTTATACTGTCTAATTCAAATTTCCAATTCCTAAATCAACATATACAATTCATAAATATGTGACTTATGACATTTTTTAAAAAGCTTGTGGTATGATATAGATGTAGGTTTAATGTTGATAGTGGAATACCTATGTTTAAATGTTGATTTTGGTAAATTGCTATTGTTGGGTTGATGTGTATCTTGTGTTGAAGAAAACAGATTTGAAAATTCTTTATAAGTATTCATAAAATTTTTAAGCACAACTGTAGTAAATTGTATATGATATACAAATAAAATAAATACATATATTGATTTATACACCCATAAGTGTAGACAAATAGTTTGCTATGAAGCAAAAAATTCAAAATATGTCAAACAAAATTTAACAATAAACCATCATATTTCTAATCATCCAAAACAACATTCATTACATCAATTTGAAAAATTACAACAAGTTTAAAAATGCCACTTAAGTTAGTTTTTAAGATTAACACAATTACACAATTGGACTTTTTCTTGTAATATCATATTTTTTCATCATGCTATCCCTGCTAGTTTATTACTCCCAAAACTATTTCAATTCATAAGAGAACATTTTAATCTTCAAAACAAGTGAAAAAACTACAACCATACATGCTACTCTAGATCTGTTATCAGATACATCAATATGAATTCTAAATGGAAAATAAAATGGAATAGGGGAATGTGTCAAAACGACAACAACACAACCAAAGAGCAGAAAACAGTCCAAGGCCACCAATGGTTCTTATTCTCAATGGTATTTTTAAAGATGGAGTATCAGTACTTTTGAATCATATCAACAGTTAAGACATCATCATGATCATCAGATGACTGTTAGACACATATTCATACCCATACTATCAAAACACATTAACAAACTATAATATCAGTTTTTCCCCTATCCTAGAATAAAGATCATTTATAATACAGTGAATTCAGAAATTATTGTGCACATTTATTATTGGGATTTTTGAAGAATGGACAATAATGCGAGAGTAATTATTTTGAGAAAAACGTATCAGATATGGGAATGTGAGTTCTTATTAATGAGATTCTCACACAGTTAATTCACATTAATAAAAACCTCGCAATAATTTTTGAATTTACAGTATATTTATTGCATTAACAAAAGTCGAACAATGTAAATAATTGAGCAAAACATGAAAACCATCAGACAATCTTATTTTGTTAAAAACAGAGAATATAAACATGATAAATGAACACTTTGTCAAAAGAAAGGCTGTGCAGGGGTTGAAATATGTTTCACATTCCCACACCTTATATAAGTTTTTAAAAAGTAAAATAGACTGTTCAAATAAATTCCATCGGCTTGAATAATATGCAATTAAAACCATTTGTTTTATGTTTTTACATTGTAAGATGTTGACTATGGTTCACTCCATGTACTCACCCTTTCTCTTCTAAAACAATCTGGCCAGCATGATATAACCAAGCCTGCTGAAAGTGATGTTTAACACCAACACACAATCAATCTAAGGTGTTGATTTGACTTTAAGGGAGATAAATTTGTAAAAATTAAAACAAGGATGTCTGGGACCTTAATTCATAAAAAAATGAACACAAGCTGTGCACCAAATTTTGGAATATTAAATAAATAAAATGTTTGCTGCATTGTTAGCTGGTACAAGATAAATCATAATCTTCATTAATATCATGTCCCTTCTGTATTTTTCTCATGATACTGTGCTCTTGTCTCTTCTAATTCCTTCACCCATTCTTGTACTTGTGGAGTTTTGAACTTTCCTGAAAAAATAATCATGAGATCTTTTCTTGCTGGTCATTTTTGCTGGTTTAAACAAAAACACTAAAAATGGATAAAAATTGCCATCAAAGGGCAATAACTCCAATATGAGTCCATCAGGCGATTTTGGTGTTACTTAGTTTAAACAGTATTTATAAACCCTTTCATGTTCCGCCAAATTGGACCTAAACTTATGAAAAAGACACTATCCAAATTCGATGGAATATAGCATTCGCACCAAAACTCATACAAAGGTAATTTTGGATCCATATAAAAAAGATAATTGAATATTTCAAAAAATTTAATAAGAACAAAATTTGTCTTTTTAAGTCAAGAGGTATCTTTCCAAAATTTAAAGTCACCTGACTTGCAGGAAAAATGTGAAAAATACAAAATTCTTGTGGGAACGTTGTGTAGAGAAATTTGTATGCGCCAATAGAGTATAGTTTTGGTATCAAAGCTAATAGAAACAGAAAAGTTGCCATAATGGTATAGAAAAGGAAAAATGTGCTATATGCCTCGAAATGTTGATGCCCGTAACATAAAAAATAAAGGACTTCAGCAGTTTTTTTTTGTCTAAATCTAATCCTTGACATAAATTTCTGGCTTAATCATGTTCATTCAAACAGCAAACAAAATTTAGCCTTTACAAGTAAAGATTCAATGATTTACCAATAATAACTTGGTGTTGTGGCCAATACAGGACTGTAGCAATGGCAAAATGAGGAGGGGGGTGAAATTAGGCACACAAATTCTTTTAAAACAAGCATAAATCGTTCTTAACCTAATTTTTGCATATATTGAGGACTCTTTTCGAAATTGAAAGTAAAGTTAAGTTAAGTTACATTTAATATAGGAAATTATTTTTCACCTCCAGCTATGAGATTCGAACACGCAATCTGCCTGTTGTGTGTTGGTTCAGTTTTCCACTGCACCACTGGAATACTTGGTCAAAATGTTGAAATTTTAGTAGTTAACTGTACCATTAATGAAGTGAGAGAAAAAAAAAATCAAGCCTGTTTTCCTTTAGAAATTAAGTGTTGAGATAATACATAATTGTTGCCAATTCCATCATTTTAAGCAAAAATAGGAGGATATCATACCTTAGTCTGGAATTTTTTTTCTTGGCATGTGCCTGTTCCTTTATTTAAACAAAGGTGTTTTCAACATGACCATAAGCAAGCACTTAAAAAACAATGTTTCGTTACATCTATTTCAACTTCGGGAACAAATTTCATGATATTTTGGGTTTTTTTTTTCCCTTTTCAATTAATTCTGTAAGAAATGACCAAACATTTTGAGTGCATTTCAAGTTTATGATTGCATTGGTACACTTTGAATCACTTATTTAACTCGTGTACAAGTTTTAATCACAATTTGAATAGTATTCTTCCAAAATACACAACACATTTAATAAAAAAAAAAGTCAAACTGCCCCCGAAATCAATAAAATTGAGAATGGAAATGGGGAATATGTCAAAGAGACAACAACCCGGCCAAAGAGCAGATAACAGCCAAAGGCCACCAATGGGTCAACGCAGAGAGAAAACCCTGCACCCGGAGGTGGTCCAGAGCTGAGACCTAAATAGAAATGTGTACTAATTCAGTGAAAATGGATGTCATACTAAACTCCAAAACATATAAATGAACTAAAATTAAAAAACATACAAGACTAACAAAGGCCTGAGGCTCCTGACTTGGGACAGGCGCAAAAATGCGGCGGGGTTAAACATGTTTTGTGAAATCTTAACCCTCCCTCTATACCTCTAGCCAATGTAGAATAAAAAAACACACAGCGATACGCACAGTAAAATTCAGTTTAAAAAAAGTCTGAGTCCGATGTCAGGATAGGTAACAAAAGAAACTAAGCAAAATGACAATGATACATAAATTAACAAAGGACTACTAGCAGTTACAAACAATTGCCAGCTCCAGACCTCAATTAAACTGATTGAAAGATTATGTCTTCATCATATGAAAATCAAGTACAATCCCTCCCGTCAGGGGTTTAGTATCATACCATCATAAAATATATGAGAAGAACATAACCTGTATCATGCCAAAAACTGGTTTTAGAATAAAAATGTTTATTTCCGATGCAAAGACCCTATGAGTGAATCAATATTAATACCAAAATATGCAATCCTTAATAACTTGACAACAGTATTGTAACTATATCCCTTCCAAATAAGTCTGTTTAAAAGTTTGGTTAGCTTTTGAGGTGAATGCTGACATTTCTGTGCTTTGTAAAGAATATTACCATAAAATATTGGATGTGAAATACCTGAACGTATAAGATGTCTGCATGTTGATTTATATTTATGAATGATGTCCTTGTACCGATGATAAAATTAAGTAAATATTTTGACTAGTTTGTGAAATCGAAAACCCTGGTGTAATAATTTTTCAGTAATACAGAGATTTCTTTCATTAAAATCAAATATGTTGTAGTATACTTTATCATACTCTATGGAAATAGTGTCTTAAAATTATTTAAAAACAAGAGTGCTCTCACTGAAATGTCTCGCCAGCTTTACTGACCATTGATTTTATGTTGAAAGTCTTAAAGGTAAAAGTTTTACTAAAAGCATTACAGAAACTTAACATTTTTAAAGATCTATGACAATGAGAATAATAAGGTCAAATAAATCCTGTCAGACAGACATATACACCTTACAATTTTTATATACTCCAAATATAGATGACCTATTGTGTATGTTAATTGAAAAACAGACCAAAACACAAAAACTTTACATTGACCAATGAACCACGAAAATGAGGTCAAGGTCAGATGAAACCTGCCAGACTGACATGTACCCATTACAATCATTCCATACAATAAATATTGTTGACCTACTGCTTTTTGTATTTGAGAAACGGACCTAATCATGTAACTTCAACCTTGATCACTGATCCATGAAATGAGGTCGTGGTCAGATGAACTCTGTTTGATGGACATGTAGATATTGCAAGGAACCCATATAGTTAACCTATTACTCATAATAAGTGAGAAATTCACATGACAAAAAAACTAAAAAAAATTTCCAGGCAGTCGCTGAACCATGAAAATGAGGTCAAGAAAAATGGACATATGTTTTGTAAATTTGTAACACATTATTGTGTCATTGGACACGTTTCTTATACTTAATACCCCAATGATGATTGTGGCCAAGTTTCAGAGGACAAGATTTTTGTAAAAGTTAACAGACGTTAGTGGACGACAACAAAGGATAACGGACGCCAAGTGAGGAGAAAAGCTCACTTGGCCCTGTGGGCCAGGTGAGCTAAAACATAATAGAGACCCTAAAATGCATGTTTTTCCTACATAAATTTGTTGAAGTCTGACCGCAAATTAAGAAATTCGTTTGTGCATTTATCATGTTTATTATTGCAAGTGTTGAACAACTAACAACAATGTGACATTATTATTATGATTTAAAGAAATGCTGCATATAAATAAAACATCTTTCCCTTATTCTCTGTCGACCCCTATCACAGGGCCTTCCTATTATATTTATTGTTAATTTGTTTTTGCCCTGAACATACATTAAATATTTGCCACTGGACATAAAGAAAACCACATTTAATCCATCAATCAGGATTAAGAATTTGTTTTATTTTTAGTACAAAATGTATGTATACTATCAATGGTCTATGATATTATACACCTGTCTTTTATACATAATTCCACCTTATGTAATAATGCTGTATTTTGATTGGATGAGAGACATGGTATTTTTCACCAATTTCTATGTATTGAGATTTTCTTTTCTCTGCAGGGTATTTGTCATTAGGAAATTCCATGTGCCGGGGTATTTGCAAGCTAATTACACCTTATGTAAGAATCCTGGGTTTTGAATCAAAACTTCCAAAACGGTCATATATGCCGGACATTTGTATAATGTCCGGTAAAAGTCCGGCTGGGAAAAGCATGAAACGGTCATCTACTTTTTAGTTTTCAAGGCTTTCTTAAGAGACGGTCATTTTAACATAATTCGCAATCTTTTTGACCCAACATTTTGCCTTTAACAGCCACATATTTCCGGTCATAAAAGTGACATGATCATTAAGTACTATCAAAACAACCCCTACTTTAATACCTTCTCATTTTAATCAAGGCTAATTAGTTGTCGAACAGCTGAAATTTACCTGTTCAGGTGACAGGTAAACTATTTTGAACTGGACATTGATCGGTCTATTCAAAGTTATTTTCTTACATTTCAGCGGTTTGCATCTAATTAATTTAGTCAAAAAGATTTAAATTATCAGAAATACATTTACAAATATGATTTGATGAAAAAATTAAAAAGGTGAAAATGAAAAATCGTCATAACCACATTGTTTGAACCAGAGACATGTCTCTGTTTGAACTAGTACACGTGTGCGCATGTGCGCAGGTGTGACATTTAATTATGCATCCTAATTTCTTCAAAAAATGCATTGATACCTTTATCTCAAGTTTATTTCGAATATATTCTTGAAGAAATAACGTAGAAAGATTTCATACTTTGCAAACGTCTACGGAATTTACGTATCCGTCTCTGGTCCATGTTTTACCATTGTCAAGATAACATCCGGTATTACTTCAAAAAACGAAAGTAAAGTTTTTGACAACGTTATTTTGCACAAATAAAGAGTCTAAGGCAGATATAAGTACGCTGATGTTGCACACTTCGAATGGTGCACTGCTAATTTAACAGTTTACGTCAGAACTTCAAATTTGAATCAAAGAAAGTTTAATATCGTTTTTTTTAATGTCAATCATTGGGATGGCCAACTCTGCAACTGATTACCATAATTGCCTTTCGTTTATTTTGTCTTAAGGGATTAAAATCGGGATAGTATATAAAATGTCCGGCTGGCTAAAAATAATTTTGGAAGCCCTGGTTTTGATTGGTTGATAGCCAGTGTATTTTTCACCAATTTACTGTTATCAAATGAATATCCTTCATTTTTTAACGCAGCTGGGGTATATGCAAAAAGTATATGCCTTTTTTACTCTCTCTGCCATGGTATTTGCCAAAAAAATACTCTTTCCGACTGGACGCTTGTAACGTCACGATCATCAATGCGTTTTTGAACATTAACATTCTGTGTAATTAAACAGATATAGCATGTTCTTGAGGGGTATTTGCAAAAAATACCCCTCCTTAATATGATATATCTGTTCAAAACGCTGACCTATAGTCTTGTGTTTGGTATGTTGATGTCTTATTGATGTACATGCCAAATATCAAATTATTCAAATGATCCATCTCTTTTTGTTGATCTTGCATTGCTAATAACATTTTCTTTTTTCAGTTTCTCTCTATCAATTATTGTTTTTTGAACAGATATATCATGTTATAGAGGGGTATTTGCGAAAAATACCAGTCAAGGGACTGTAAAATTCCCGAGCCGCTAGGCGAGGGAAATTCGGTCTTAAGACTGGTATTTTTTGCAAATACCCCTCCGTAACATGATATATCTGTTTAATTTCTCTCGCCAAGAGGCTTGGGAAATTCGGTCCCAACTTCCAAGACTGGTGTTTTTCGTAAATACCCCTCCATAACATGATATATTGGTTTACATGTTTATGCATAATTTTGAGGATAAGAGGATATTATCATAGAACCGCTGGGAATTATACATGTACTAATATGCGTTAGCTCGCTTTTTTATGTAACGTCATATCTGAAAAAAATTTGGCGGGAAGATGCTCAAGAGTGTAAAAAAGGAATATCCAAAATGGCAAATACCATGGTATTTTAGGCAAATTCACCAGCAGTGGTGAAAAACAGTCAAATTTATTTGAAATGAGGAAAAAATATTAAAATATGCAAAAAATACACTGGCTATCAACCAATCAAAATCTGGCTTTCTTATATAAGGTGTAATTAGCAACAAAATACAACAATGGGTAAAAATCATTATTTAAAGCCTAAATCTTCTATAAGAAAAGGATATACAAGTTCAACTTTGTTGATCTATTTGAAGATCTAGTCTAGATGATCAATTGTGCTGTTTACACTTTCCTTTTTTCTTCTATAGTTTTTGCCAAACACATAAAAAAAGGTAAATATCATTATTTAAGGGCAATTACTCCAATAAGGAGTCAACTGACAATTTCAGCAATGTTTAATTATTTGAAGATCTTGTCTGAGCTAGTATTGCTCACCTAGTGAAAAGTGTCAGTCTCTTTATGAGGACTTTTATCTGCACATACTAGTTATTTTCTTGTGTTACTGAGATTTTTTGCAAATAACACTTTTATCTTTTACAGTTTTTGAAATAACAACAAAAAAAATCAAAAAAAAAAAAAAATATTTCAAGGATAAAAACTTCAGAATAGGTTGTCTGATTTCTTAAATTTCTGAGTAGATAGATCTTGTCATGCTCAATCATCCTTTAAACAATTTAAATGTTTAATCTTAAACTTACTTCTATAATGTTCAAGATAACTGCCAAAAACTGTGAAAATTGGTAAAAACTTACTTTTCAGGCGCAATAACTCATAAAGGGATCAAAATTGATTTTACAGATATAAAAATCACAGATTAAATAGAGCTAATTGTGTTGACCATTTTAACCCAATGTAATTTTTTCTCAAATTCATTGCATTTTCAAGGTATTAGCCAAAAAATGCATTGATATATTTTGTATCTATCCACTGTAGTTATGCTTATGTAGGTTGATCAACCTGGACGAAAATTATAAAATTTATAGTAGATTTCCTAACTATGAAGTAGACAAACTTTGATTTAAATCCATTCAGTGGTTGCAGAGGAAGAATTTGAATAGAAAAAATTAACTGATACAAAGTGATGGCAAAAGTCCTCTGGCCAGGTAAGCTGAAAATGAAAGATAAAATGGTAAAAAAGTCATCATTTTAATGGATTTGCATGGCTTTTATTTAACCCTCTGAGATTATCCTTTTTTTATTCATGACAAAATGCACATTTTTCATTACTTATTAAGTAGAAATTCTGAAAAACAGTCATTAAAAATACAGCAACCAATGAGTTTTCTCATGCCTACTGTGAATGTACTTGACAATATATTTACCTTTAGTACTATCAAAAAATTCTTGTAGAGATCCTGGTTTGTTGGCTAATTGTTCATACTCATGTGCTTGGAATACCATCTCAAACTTATCAAGATCCTTTACAAACACTGCTTCTGGTGTAGTCTGGTGCTCATATTCCTAGGGAAGTAAAATGTAAAACTTTCATTTTTAGGGTTTTTTTTGTCCTTTTTTCTATGTTAACTCTAGGCGACTGTCATACAAGTAAGAGGTTTAGCTAGCTATAAAACCAGGTTTTAACCACCATTTTCTACATATTAAGGAAATGCCTGTACCAAGTAAGGAATATGACAGTTTTTTTTTTCTTTTTTTTCGTTGATGTGTTTGAGTTTTTGATTTTGCCAATTGATAAAGGACTTTCCGTTTTGAATTTTTCATTGGAGTTCGATATCTTTGTTATTTTACTTTTTAATATCTAATATTTAAGTTACACAAATTTATATAATGATGTGATATTGGTACATTAGATTTGTGAATTTTTGTTTCTGCAATATTTTTGATTATTTTGATTTTAATAGGACCTAAACGGTATTTCTATAAGTCAAAGCATACAAAAAAAAACACCTTAAGAATGTTTTGCTGTTCCCTTTTCCTCCCCATGAAGTATTTACATTTTCATATTGAATCAGTTTAAAAACTAATAGCAGGGTAAATATATGATGTTTTAATAATAATAACAGATAATACAAATTTTTATGAAAGCAGCTAAAATATATATATTTTATCATGATAGAAATGAAAAAAAAACAGGAATGTTAACAGTAAGTGTGTGCACATGTGTAAAACATATTTTGTGCTAATTAAAACATGACTTTTTCTTTACAAAGCAAATTAAGGAGGTCATATTAGACTGCAAAAATTGCGACAGGATATCCAATAGGTTTAAAGAAGTCGTATTAGACTGAGAAAACTGCAACAATATATTCGATAGGTTTCTCAAGAATAAAATTGAAACTCTCATTTTAAATTTTGATAGCATTATTAGTATGCAGCATTTCCTGAAACCTAAATAATTAAAAGGGCATTTCTGTCTGTACAATGATGGCAATAACAAATAGATGCAAACATTTACGAATTTACAGTAGATTACCATATAATTATAAGATAAAAAAAAACCTTTTATTGTTGGCATGAACATCCAATTCTTTACAGAACATTATTTACACTTACCTGATATACTACCCACCTTCTCCCCTAAGTAATTCTTTTGGCAATCCGTTTGGATTTCGACGGGAAATACTGAAGGGGTTCTCAAGCTTGATCTGATTCCCAGAGAGGTTTGAATTCTTAATCAGTCAAGCGTTTGAGCGAGATGTGACCAAATACAGGAAAGATAATCCATAATGTAAGGATATCAGGTAAGTGTAACTACGTTCACAAAATTCCAATTTGTGAACTAAATTGTACAATTTTATCCATGTGATCATTTATTATAGAATTGTTATTTCTTTGCTATATTATATTTTGTTTTTGAAACTAAATACAGTTAACTCTCGTTGTCTCGAACTTGGTTGACTCGAAATTTCGGATGAGTCGAAGTATTCTCGTGGTCCAGAACTTTGTTCCACATAAAAACATGTATTTCAACTCCTCGTGAGTCGAAATTTCGATTGATTCGAACTGAATTTACGGTCCCAAGGTTAACAAAAGCATTCAAAATTCATTATTTATCTCGAACTAATACACATATGTCAAAACATGACCTCTGGGATTTAAATGGATTGAAGTGTTAATCTGACAATACACATGTAATTAAATTTCTGGTCACTGACCACTGTATTGATTTATGACATTCTTTTTCAACGAATGTTTACCTAAGATTATCTTAGATCATTGTGATAAATAATTAATGATAATATTTATGAAAAGTTATTTAAAATGTTTTAAAAACAATTAATCGTTATCATACACTAATGAGCTTGGCTGTGTATAAAGTAGTGATTAAGACTTCCGTTGGTGATCAACTCAAAACTACTATATCGGCGTCTTTATCTATTTGTGTTTTCTCTTGCAGAAAAAGATTGAAATAAAAGAAATGAAAAGAAATCTAATTTTTATAAAAATCTCTAGTATACAGGAATGAACAATTTTGTCAACTTTAAATAATGCTAAGATCGATTGAAAATTACTCTTTCGGCTAAAAGCCACAGGGAAAAATTGTAACTGTACAAAGAAATGAATAAGAGACATACAATGTTATTATAATAATAAAAGATTATAACATACAAATACATCGATCTGAGACCAGAATATCGATCCCCTACCCATATTCATCCTTTAGACTCACCAAGCTAAGCAAGAGTTGTGTCCCTAGGTCTATCAAACTTCCGGTTTTCATTTGAGTCAAACTAAGGGTATCTCGAAATATTTCTATGGTCCGGATGACTTCGAGATAAAGAGAGTTGACTGTATGTTTATACCGGTATGACAATAAATGGTAGCCAAGGGAAATAACTTCAATTGTAATTTAGTCAATATAACACTATCTATATGATTTTGTCCTTACCTCCCATAAAGAGTACAGTTCTTTACCTAAATCTTCACTAACCAAGTCGGATATATGTTTCATAGCCATCTATAAAAAAAAAACTTCAATGTCATTACACAATTGCAAAAAAGAATAAATTGTTTGTTTTTTCAATAAGAAATTTCTTGTTCTATACCTCCTATGGTATCATCTTACCTTATTTTACTTCAGTAGTCCTTGAAGTTACCAAGTTCTTATGTTTGTCGTATATTTAAAATAATGCATTACAAATTTTTGTATTATTTTTTTCAACTCTTCTTGAGGAGTTTTAAGTTTTGGACCTGTAAAGTACTGTACTATGGAATGATTACATTTTTTTGTTGTTTTCAGTGAAACTTGCATACCTTAGACTGATATCAGCACTGAATTTTACATCTCATCATAAGTTTGAACCAATTTATATGAACTTTGGTACATTTAGCCTGTATTAAAAACACAGTTTTATGTATCATTTGTCTTTATAAATTTGGCCTCTGTGGACCAAAAAATATTTTAAAATTTACTCTTGTCACTGAACTTTTGATTTAGTGTAGATATTTTGATAATTAGTTCAAAATTAAATTTTGCTTCAACAAATCAATCCATGGAATGTGTTCTAAGGGAGATAACTCCATTCAAATAATTGCAGAAACACTAATTTTTGTGTCAAGATTATATTCTTATCTTAAATAAATGACAGTAGATGTTCATTTTTGGATAAACTTTGAATTACAATAAAATATTTCAGATCTGAATTATCAATTTGTTCTGTACATCAAATCATTAGACAGAATTTTATCATCCTATATCGCCAGCAACTGAGACTAATATTACACGTGTTTAATATATAAGCCTCAGCCGGCAATAACCTTTTGTTTCACTGTATCCTAATTTGTTTCACTGTATCCTAACCAACAAGAATGATTTTACATCAATTCCCATATACGCCTGCTGTAAACTGTAATTTGTCATTAACACTTTTGTAGTCATTGACTCAAACACTGTGGAAACTATTTCATTTACTAAGAACCTCATTGCAAGAAATATAGAAAAGTTACTAGATTATTTTGGTCATTTTCACTAAACTTTCAAACAATAAACTTTACTGCTAGGTGAATGATATGAATCTGTATGTTGAGACAAGTAAACAGGTATGAAAAATGTTTTGGCATTTGTTCAAATTGTTGTCATAAAATTATTTAAAATGACACTGTTCTCATAGCTGTTAAACATTTTCAGGGTTACAGTATCAGACCTGGGTGGTTAATTTTGATAAGGAATTGGTGGAAATCTGGAGTCTTCTATAATACATGTATACTTAATTGAGAAAACTGTAGATAAATATATATTAGGTATAATACCACCATTGATTTTCCCCTATAAGTCTTTGTTAAATTTGCACTTTTAAAAAAAATTGTGCAGAAATTATCTTTGTTTCAAATAAAGAAATACTTGGCATGAGTAAAGTTTTATCCAGTCCAATTCTATAGAAAAAATTTCACATAACATTTCATTGCATATAAGAAGATAACCATCACTAGAAGTTAACCAATCAAATTTTCCCCCTTTTTTAACCTGTGTACAAGCTTTAGTAACTATGTAATCTCAAGTTTCCAAAATATTCTATAGAAACCCCAAATAAAAAAATAATGGTGCTTTGAAATACCCAAGATATATGTTTATGACCCAGAAATGCTTTACTGCAATGAAATGTAGGATCAATTACCTACAACTGTCAAATTCAAGGGAATATTTTTTTCGACCTATTTTCGTATGCAACCGGATGTGACGTACATGTACTATGATTTGGTGGTATTACACCTAAAGAAGACTTTTTTGTTAAATAAACTGAATGTGACTTTTTTCCTTTGTAATACTGGTTATTTCAAGCATACCTGTCAAGTTTTGTCATAATCAGTTCAATAGTTTGAAAAAAATCAAGTATAATGTAAGACAACATCTACAGCGATTCGAGCAAAATTTCTTCCAAATATCCAAACCAAGCCGCATCATGATAGAATATAGTGTGGACCAATAAATGGTCAAATATTTATCTCATCTGCCTACAAAGAGTTGAATATGATACAAAAAATGACTTTAGGATGATAAATACTACTAATGGACCTCTTTGTCTTCCTTATAAGGTCTCTTTTGGTCCATTTATACCTCTCATTTCCTCAAAATTTCTACTTTTTAGGCCAATAAATAAAAATTTTGGGGTAACTTTCACTCATTTATGATAGAAATGTTATAAAAAATGATCAATTGAAGTATTCAAGCTGAATGAACTATCCGTATAAAAGTTTACTGTCTCCAAGAAGGTTTCAATAAGTCCTTACGTAAAACTTAAATTTATGCCGCGTTCCAGAGAGGGACATAAAAAGCTTCTCTTTTGGTGAATAATTTGTTGTTACTGCTTTAAAAATAATTTCATTTACTTAATACTATATATTTATTAAAGTATTTCTTAGGAAAAATTTTCTAGTATAGCAGAATATAAGAAATAAGGAGAAAAAGCTCCCCAAAACTCTAAGTATGGCTTGTTCTGTCAACTAATATTCATGGTAAAGTCCTATTTCAAGAAAATTTTCTCATAAAATGTGTTTTGGAGACTCAATCCACTCAGAATATTTCATTATTTGTAATATTTCACTTGAATAGAAAGAAATTTTAACACATGAGAGTACTCACAAGGTCAAAGGTGCATGTACAGCTTCCCATATTAGGTGTAATACCACCATTGATTTTCCCCTATTAGTCTTTGTTAAATTTGCACTTTTAAAAAAATTGTGCAGAATTTATCTTTGTTTCAAATAAAGAAATACTTGGCATGAGTAAAGTTTTATCCAGTCCAGTACTATAGAAAAAATTTCACATAACATATCATTGCATATAAGAAAATAACCATCACTAGAAGTTAACCAATCAAATTTTCCCCCTTTTTTAACCTGTGTACAAGCTTTAGTAACCATGTAATCTCAAGTTTCCAAAATATTCTATAGAAACCCCAAATAAAATAATAATGGTGCTTTGAAATACCCAAGATATATGTTTATGACCCAGAAATGATTTACTGCAATGAAATGTAGGATCAATTACCTACAACTGTCAAATTCAAGGGAATATTTTTTTTCGACCTATTTTCGTATGCAACCGGATGTGACGTACTATGAGTTGGTGGTATTACACCTAAATGTGATTTGATGAAAATTTAAAAAGGTAGTAATAAAGGTTTTAAGTGAAAAATTGTCAGAACCACATTGTTTGAACTAGTACACTCGTGCACATGTCCACAGGTGTGAGATTTAATTATGCATCCAAATTTTTTAAAATGCTAAAATTATCATGTTTGTCAAATGCTACACATATTTCAACAGCTTTGTATTCTCTGTGCATTTTGAACCTAGATTCAAGATCACCTCTCCTATAAAGTCAGTTTTCTCTATTCCCATGGGTGACCTTTATATGCAAATTCGACAGCGCATTGCTACTTTGTATTTTAAAGCATTACTTCTTCTCGTATCTGTTTCTCTGATTTATCAATACGATCAGCTGGTGTCAGATCTCCCACTATGCTCTCTGCCATATCATGTACTAATGACAACTTTATACATCTGAAATATATATCAGTAAACAAGCATTAAATGTGATTTTCAAGGCCGATGGTAAGGTGTTTGTTTGAAATCTTTATTTCACATGTTTTTATTCTGTTTCGTGCAAATTAGTTAAAAAGCAAGGTGAAAGCCATTTTTTTATATTTTTCTTCATCATGAAATGAGCATTTTATTTACCACTCCTCCCTGCATACATCCACTCCCCCTTTTGTGTCCGTCTTTAGGAGGTATACCTAGCGGTTAAGTGACATACACCTTATGTGAACTATGGCAGCATTTGTGAGATTTTTTTTGCCCGTAAACTAGAAATGAAATATAATTTGTTGATATTACTTCTACCCTGTGTTATTTAATGCTGACATCGAACAAAGAATTCTGCTCAGACCTATGTTTGGATTGTCTTGAAATTGCAGTGAGATGTTAAATGCCATTCTAAGACACAGATGAAGAACAGCAATAAAATCTCAGTTCCTTTGCATTCAACAAGTTTGTGTATAGATTTTGTGTCTTAATATACATGGTACACCATATCCATTCTTTTTCATTAATATATTAATTTTTTTAATACATGTACAAAAGTATATGAAAAATTAAAATAACTGTAAATGTTGAATTGGACAATAAAACTGATATGCTGAATGAATGATTTTACCAATGGATCTGCATAATATGACATTTAACAAAAATGGTATAAATCTACTATTAATTCTGGACTAAATGGTTGCATTAATGATCTAAATCTTTGACAGTTTACAACCATGTGACATATATATGCATCAATTAGGGATCTGCTGACCCTTCCTAAGCACTTGAGATTACACCTGTTTTTTCGACTAGTTTGTCTTGCCCTATCTTTAGTTTTTTATACAGTGTTTTGTAGACTTGTGTTTGTTTTTTCATCATTTTTCTTTTTTGCCCTCATTTTGTCCCTCTCCTCGACTCATGGGTTTTGATTCTCAATTTGAAATCGTCTGTCTTTTTAGTATTAAGCACTATTCCTGAACATGCTGCAGTAATATATTACATGTACCAACAAAATTTCAAACTAAGGATTTAATCTTTGTCATGCAAGTAAAGTCTGCAACAAATTGCATATTTTTTCTGAATTCACAATTTTGATAAACAGTTTTAAAATTAATGAGTTAAAAGACCGCACAGGTACATGAGGTAAAACATAAGTTTTTTTCATAAAATTGGTTCATTATATATTACATACACATGACACTCATTCATGTCATGTAGGATTAACCAATTAACAATAAATATTTATGAGATAACTTTGGACTGATCTTGTAGCAGACATCCCATTTTTCCTGATTGATGAGGGACTTCCCTAATGAAAGCCAAGGTGTTGACCTGACTTCATTATATAAACTAAATATCCATAAACAAGCATTCATTAGAATTTTGATCACATTTAAGCACATATATAGATATTAGAAGATGTGGTATGAGTGCCAATGAGACAACTCTCCATCCAAGTCACAATTTGTAAAAGTAAACCATTATAGGTCAAAGTACAGTCTTCAACATGGAATTACAAATATATATATATATACTCATTTATTACCATAGAATATTAGATTAAGAACACTTATTGTTTTAGATGTTTATTTGGTCTTATTCTGTTGATGTTGTTATATTTCCCAATGGAAATGTTCATGGAGATAAAATATTTAAGAGTGGTTGGATTTTGTAAAAACATGAAAGAAGGATGAAATACTTAATAAATGGGGACAATCAGGCCCTTGGTTTTTCTCTTTTGAATTGATCCATATTTTGTCATACAGGGCCCTTTTACAGCTTACTTCACAGTATTGGTTTGTCTTCATTGTTGAAGGCTGTATGATGAACTGTTCACATCTTAGTCCTTTTGGGTCTTATGATTGTTGTTTCACTGGCAAATCATGCCACATCTCCTTATTTTTATACAGAATAAAAAATTGGGACCCATCATTTATCAAACCACTTTCAGTCAGGGGTACTACTTGAACAAATTATTTTTGTTTACTTGAAGAAGTAAATAATAATATATTCATAAAGGTAAATTTGTTTTATTCATATATTCTTATAACATGTATAAGGTTTGAATAATCTCCCCTTAATTTTCTCAAAAAATTTACTTGTATAAGTAATTTTATTTTACACTCCCTAAAATTCTCAAGTTTCTGGATGTAAAAACATGCCTTAAACAATTTTTCTCTGGTTAGCTCATAATTTTTTATTAAGAGTTTAACATTTCATCTCATTAATTCAACAAAGAAACTACTTGCGCAAAGATCTTTAGTAATTGCGCGAGGCCTGCAAAAATTGCCCCTTGGATGCTTGTAAATGTTTTGAAGATAACAGACAAATGAGATTTTCATTGTCCATGAAATTGCACTTAAATAATTAGTAAAGACATCTGCAAAAGGACAGACAATTAAAAATTCTATTAGAGCAAAGAAGTCCTGAGAAATTCAAGAAAAGAAGATAGTATGACTTATTTACTTGTATAAGTAAAAAAATCTGACTGTCTAAGGGACATACATTTGAACTAAGCCATTTAAATAATTTACATAAACAAGTAAATAAAATACACTCATATAAATATCTTACAAATTTTCTTATATAAGTATATTAATATTTACTTCTTCAAGTAAATAAAAATAACTTTTACAAGTAGTACCCCTGACTGACTTTCCTATTCCAAATGTTATATTTTATTTTACTCAATGATGAAATTTTAAATACTTTTCTTTGTTCAGCCCTGTACTGGGGTCCACCAAGAAAGATAAAGTAGCCATTCTGTACATGTGGTCAGATACACTCTCTGGTTCATTTACATGTTTTAACACCCAACCTGTTCTCTTCACTCTCTGAAAAACATAAATCAATTATCAATATATATATAAAAATAAGAAGATGTGGTATGATTTGCCAATGAGACAACTATCCGCAAGAGATGTACATACAATGTATCATGCATATGCATGTCATAAGATGTGATATAAAAATCCATGCCAAAGGAACCCAACAACATTTTTTCATAATTTTGCCAATGTAGATCAATGGAGTAGAGGTCACAAAAGTCATAAGATTATCAAGGATATGAAGAATCACACTGCATAACAAGATCTAAATTTCACTGTGTGTACAATGTGTGGAAAAGTTGGCAATCTGATTTGTTTAAAATACAGATTCTATTTCCAGGTTTCAGGTACCATACAAGGATGTGACAGTGCTCAAATTTTTGGGTGCTCCAAGTCATTGAAAGTGTGTACTTTTTCCACAAAATCTGATGGTCCTAACAAAATTTCAAACAGAAGTTTGTTGCAGATTCCTGTTTGAGACAGAAAATTCTCTTTTTCTCAATTGTGATCTACAGACTAATTTGTAATTGCCATGAGTAACATGATGGGTGCCACTGGTGGAGCAGAAACTACTTGTACCTTTCCAGACAATGCCAGAGCACCTAACAAAAAATCAAATGTGGTTCGATTGCCAATGAGACAACTTAGTTAACAACTATAGGTCATGTCAGGGCCTTTATAGCTTGTATTGTGGTATGGGTTTTCTCATTGTCAAAGGCTGTATGGTTACCAATAGTTGGGAATATCTACCTCATTTTAGTCTCAATGGCAATCATACCACATCTTATTTTTTACTAACACATTTTCAGGTTTGAACATTTTCCATTTTTTTAATTTAAATAGATAGGTATGGACATATATCACTGTATATGATTATACATGTACATGAACCATCACTTCAGTATGAACTCATATCAATTGGAAACTAGAAAACATTTTAAAAAGTTATATTGAGAATGGACACATAGAATGTATTAACATTGATCAAAGAGACAACAACCTGAGAAAAGAGCAGCCAACGGCCACCAATTGGTCTTCAAGGCAGCAAGAAAATCCTGCACTCGGATTAATGTTATATATCCTAACTTGACTTCAATTTATAATCTAAATATCTCAAAACAGGACTTCAAATGAGTTAACTTTACATGTATTTATTTAAGCACATAAAAACTCATTTTAAACCATAGCATAACAGATTAAGAATAAGTACATTTATGCCATATGTTTCCAGTGCTTAGGAAAATATTTGTATGTAATAAAAAAATGTTGATCGGGAGGGTGGAGCATATAATGTTGGACACCATGGAGAAGAATTCAGAGGAAAATCGTTTCCATCTTTAAAAAAGTGTGATGAAGTACATAATTCTTTATTTCAGCAACTGTAGAAAATGGAATTTCCAAGTTTTCAAACCATGTCCATTAATTTCTTTTACTTCACTGTCAGTTTGAGCAAGTTAATATGTTTCATGATTTTCATTTCAATAGTCTATACTAAGTATTCTGAACGCGATTAACAACCTTCAGTTGTCCCATCAAAGACATAAATTCAAACAACTTTCCAATATTCGATTTGGCCATATTTTGTCAACAAACTGGTATTTTAACTAGCTTTCCACGGACAAAGAAAGATGATATAAAACGGATCCAGTCATCGAACCATGTGCTTCCGGTTTTGATTGGCCAATCACGGTACTGGTTATATAGAAAATCTAACTAAAAACCAAATTAAGAGTTACAGAATGCAATATATGCCATTGATACCAAATTATGTTCACCCGCTGAATATCCAATTATATTATGTATATATGGACGTCTACGAACTACAAACAACAAAAAGTGTAGTCCTAAACATCTTCAACAAACAGTGCAAACAAGAATCTTTTAAATGGGACAGAACGATATGCCATCAGTTGAGAAATCCACACATCTAGGCCGGAATCATTAGCACTACATCACTCAAAGGCAAGGAAGTATGATATGAAACAGATAGATAAATCATGTTCATACATGAGGGATATTTCCGAAAAATTCAATTATCTCAAGAAAATTTCCTTCTATTGCCGCTGATGACTGATGGTTTTTGGCATATACCACTGCTGAACATGATATATCTGTTAAAAAATATTTTTATCCAATGAATTAAGTTCGTAATTAATATCCATCTAGACATTTTGCACAAGGATAACTTACCTTCAAGTTCGTGGTAGTTGCGAAAACGTTTATGTCTAACGTTATTTTATTCTTCCCGGAGACCTTTTTCGCTATTAATATCTAGACAGCGAAATAATAATGGAACAAAATTAATTAATCTGACCATCTGTATGAGGGTATGGATGGGGTTTACAGAATAGGGAAGAATGGGCAAACAGTGCAGAATAGAGGCTTAACACTGAAGAATAGAGAAACATTGGCAAAAGATTAAAGGAGATAGACAATATTAGGATGCTAAAATATGAAAGAATATAGTGAATCAATGGCGTAGCTATATCATTTTTAAGCCGGTTTACGCCCGAACCTCGGCAAGGGGCCTACGGGCCCTCATCGGGTCCAGGACAGAGGACCTCCTGGTAGAAGGTTCCAGGGGGCAACGCCCCCGGAAGCTCACGCGTTATCGAAAAAGAGATATACCACTTCTGTCATCAACAACTCATAAATAGAAACATAATTAAGAGTCTAATTTGTTTAATTTTGTGTTAAATTCATTCATTTTGTTTATTTGGAATGCAATGATCATTGGTCTTAGAAAAAAATGTGAAAACCAGTTACTGTAAAATATGTTAAAAAGGAGATGCATGTGAGGTAAAACAATCAATCGTCAAAAAATCCAAAGTATTGTAGATAGTGAACAGCAAGTCTCCATTCTGGTCAATGATGTCGTTCATACAATATAAAGGAGTTGGATTGCGATAAGAGAAACTGGGAATAAGCTAGTTGCGACCGGATGCGGGAGTCAGAAGTGGAAGCGTGGACAAGGGGTCGGGAACGGGGGAAAGGTGGGTTAAAATAGGGATTGTTGCAGATGCCATCCATTGCTTTCTAGAATGACAATTATATTATAACCAAAGAATATCTCCAGTTAACGATCTTATAAATATGAACATACACATTGATATTGAAACACTATTGTTTGGAAAAGATGCATATACTTACGAAACTAACTCTAAAATGTTTGATAAAGTTTTTTTTTCTTTCTACCCATTTGCTTTATTTAAAGTTTTTGTTTGTTGCCATGTTAACGTGTGACTCCTTCCTTTATTTTCTATAACTGATGCTATATTATGCATGTGTTTGCTGTCATCAAATATGTGTATTGTATTTGTAAGGAGAGGACTTAATATAAGTTGTAATAACTTGTGTCCAATCCTATTGCTTGACTTATGCAATAAGATATTATTAAATACAAAATAGGGATATACTTAAAAAGTTTCTTTGATTGATTTTCGTCTTGGATTAAGAGAGGAGGGGAAATTAAGTGGGAGTTTGTGAGGGGGGTCAATGATCTCCTTCCATGCATTCTTCTACATTGGCTAGAGGTATAGGGGGAGGGTTGAGATCTCACAAAACATGTTTAACCCCGCCGCATTTTTGCGCCTGTCCCAAGTCAGGAGCCTCTGACCTTTGTTAGTCTTGTATGTTTTTTAATTTTAGTTCATTTATATGTGTCGGAGTTTAGTGTGACGTCCATTTTCACTGAACTAGTACATAATTTTATTTAGGGACCAGCTGAGGACCATCTCCGGGTGCAGGATTTTCTCGCTGCGTTGAAGACCCATTGGTGGCCTTCGGCTGTTGTCTGCTCTTTGGTCGGGTTGTTGTCTCTCAGTGACATATTCCCCATTTCCATTCTCAATTTTATTACCCTCATAAAATAAGACTGAAACAGTTGAATCTTAACATCGGTAGAAAATTTGTTAAATTTAGCTTCAGCATATTAACCTTTCTGCATTTATTTTGAAATTGTCTCTTTATGTCAAAATCATCATTTAAATCAGTATAAACAATATGTCCAAGATATTTAAATGCATTAACATATTGTTTATGTATGTCCTATTTAAATAACAACCACCATTAAAATTTATTAATCTGCATTTAAAGTCATTTATACAAAATAAAAATCGGGGGAGGGGGGGGGGGGCTATTAATATCGTCCATTGCTGTTTACTTTAATTTTAGTAGACCATGATATTAGTTGTCCAATCAACTCCACTTGTTATTTTTAATTTCATTGGACAACTCATGATTTAAAAAAAAAATGGCTGCCTCCATGTTGTCAACAAGAAATTTGTGCCGATTCATAAATTTTCGAAACAGAACTAAGCTCGTGTCATTTATGTGTTCATCTACAAGTTCAGACGACCCTCCAACAACACAGCAAACAGACAACCAATCAGAAGATAACCAACATGTTCATAAAGTTGTCCAAGCTTTCGAAAAACTAGACAAAATCGCCCACGACGTGAAGGTCGAAGATGTACCAATTAAACAAGAAAAACGAGTTAACCCAAATGAAAGCTTTGCTTCCTTGCTAAGAAAATCAAAATTATTACAGATTGGTAAACCTGCAGGAAAAGTTGTAACTGGAAAAATAATTGAAGTGCAGGATGCAGATTTGTATATTGACTTTGGAGGAAAGTTCCATTGTGTTTGTCCTAAACCAGCAGTCAAGCCAGAGTAAGTATTATTTGAATCGCATTGCTTTGCACAGGCACTTGTCTCAGAATTTTTTTCCCCTATATACCTTAATATTACACTAGGTACTTAACTCGCATTTTTCAAAAAAAATGTGACCCGGCTTCGCAAAATTCCGTTATATTTCGATTTCTCGGTTGTCAACTGCACTTAAACTTGATATGCCATAAATCTAAATTGATTTATCTACACAATGGTGCATAACATGCCTACCTTTGTTGTTGGAATCAATCGTAGCATGCCTACCAAAGTATGTCAACCATAATTATTTCGTCTACCAACACCCGATTGGAAATAAGACTCACAGTAAATGATTAATTATAAAAAGTATTTAAAAAAAACCTGTTAGTTTTTGTCTGATTAGAACTTATCATCCATGTCATGATTGTCATCCAGATAGTAAATTTGTAAAAGATTCTGTGAAAAAAAATTTAACAAGTTTTATTTGAGGTATGTCTAATGAGCAGTGTTGAGTTACAAGCTTCTTTTTTTAGACTCAAATTTTCCCATTCCATCAATGTCATTCAGACTCTCTCTGGACTTAACATATAAAATGAGATATCTCCAAGAAACATTTATTTTTAGCAATAGACATTCCCATAATATTTGACCAATCAGAGACCGAGATATATAAAGTGGAAAAATACCTTTTACTGCGAGTCTTATATTTCCAATTGAGTGTTGGTAGACGAAATAATTTTTATGGTTGACAAACTTGGGTAGGCCTGCTGTGAATGATTCCGACAACGAAGGTTGGCGTGTTATACACCATTGTGTCGATAAATCAATTTAGATTTATGACAGAACAAGTTTTAGTGTGGTTGACAACCGAGAAATCGAAATATAACGGAATTTCGCGACCGGGTGACAATTTACAAAAATGCGAGGTTAAGTACCTTGTGTTATATTAAGGTAAATAGGAAATTTTTTTCTGAAAGAAGTGCCTGTGTTGCTTTGTCATCATGGTCATGTTATATAAATGTGAAATCTTTTGAGATTCTTTATCCAGAGTGATTTTCTGATTTAGCCACCCTTAGGATCCCGCTTTCAAGACGTTTCAACCACAGTACCACTTCTCCACATCAATTCATAATCTTATTTACGTATGTACATAAATATATATTTGATATCAGGCAGGTGTTACCTGTGAAAGGGGGACGAAGTCCATGTAAATTATTTTTTTAATTCAAGCATACATTTGTATTTTAACTACAGAATCTGTTGAAAAAGAAACGGAAATATGGAAACATTTCCGATGTTGGTCCTGTTGTTACTGATTTTAGTCAGTCAGGGGACTTACTTAAACGAGTGATTAAGAAATCACTGATTCAATTAACATTTTTCCAGAAATGTTGGAAGTAAGAATAGTCACCTACCATGCCTACATTTGTATTAATTAAGTATTACAAATAAATCAATAGACTAAGTGATTTAATTTTATTGTAGCTTTAAATATATAATACTAATGATCCAGGGACTAATTTTGTTGCTAAAATTATCAGAACCAACATCTGTGTTTATAGGATGACCAGTCATGTCAGGTGATGACCTTGTACTGAATCTGAGATAATGACATGAAAATCACTTCAATGTTTAAGTATCATACCTCTAGTTTCTTTAAAAAAAAATCACTTCTTTAAGTATTATTATTTGAAGTACCCAAACTAATTTCAACACCCCCGAACAGTGAAATTTTGGTCATGAACTTAATAAAATTGTGATAATTTATATCTTTACACATGTTAAACGACAAAGATACTAAGACGGCTTTTTATTTTTATCAGATACTGAAATCTGAAGTTAATTGATTAGGTTAGTTTCCCAAGAAACACATTTTGTTTACTATAAAATTGTATGTTGATCAAGCTCCAGACTCATTTTAAAATGTAAGGAATTTATTTTAATTGTTACATGTAAACTGGCAGTTTTTTTCCGTATTCAAAAACAACAAATTTGCGGAAACAATATGATGCTTCTTCTTATATGTTATTCAAAGTCCCGTGAAAAACAAGACTGGAAGAAAGAAATAAATTTGTGCACAAATGCGGGAAACTGAAAAAGTTAGAAAAAAAAGGTTAACGAATTTGAGTTCATTAGTAGATTGATTTTTTAAAAAATTTTTTTCATTTTATTGATTTTCTTCATGTTCTTACTGTCATGACTGTAATTGGGGATTTCTTCCCCATGTTATGATCTGAGGTGGCCAAATCAGATATTCGTCCGGACTCAGAATTCCAAAAGTGATTATTATGTACACTGTATTAACTATCATGACTATTGAGATAAAAGTTTTGTTTTGAAAATGATCATAATTTAACAAAATGTCATTTTGTCATAAAGTGCCAATCTGTATTCTGCTGTGAAACATACCCATGACATGCATGAGATTGTTGTAACTACTAACTACATGTAATTTGATTCATATGTGTATAAGAACGATCTAAACAAGGTTCATTTTGTTTATTGACATATGATACATTTTGTAAATAGCAATAATTATATACTGTACATAATAAATACACATGTAAAATGTTAACCGGAATCTGAATACACAATCAGGATTTTAACCAAAAAATTATATAAAAAATTCACTTACTGTCAAATCCACAATTGACATGTTTTGAAATTTTGGGCCACCAATGCACATGATGCACAATTTAAAATGTTCAACAATACAAAATATATATATATAATTGACATGATTGAAAATAAAACAACACATACATTTGTTTACATGTACCTCAAAAGTTTTAACGAGATATTATCCAAATCTGATCCATACAAGTAATGAAATTACCTTTGGTTTGAGTGTTTTCATTTGTATTAAATCATGTTTTGGCATGACATTGATACGCCAATATCATCCATGAAGTTTTCAGGAAATTAATTTTATCTTAAATTTATCATGTTTATACTTACATGTATTTCAGGCTCTAATGTACTATCAGTACATGTATATATTTCTTTTTGTGATGCATAAAAAAAAAGAATAACAGCATTGTAATTGAAGAGTTGCTGCCGTCAATTTAAATTTGACAGTCACATATATCTGTTTTATCTTCTCTGCTACGCATTGCCAGTAAATCTGCATTTGCAGCCCTAAAATCACCAATTAACGACAGCAACTCTGCAAGTACAGTAATAATATTCCTTAAGTTTAAAATCTTTACCAACATGACGAAGGGACCCTTTAAATTTAAAAAAAGGCTAACCCTAAAATGTTATCATTTATATTTTTTGGTTTTAAGCAAGCAAGCTTTTTTCTGTATTTTCATTTCTTTTAACAGATTCTATAGTTTTGAGCATAATATCTCTTTGCAATTTGAAAAATTTTTGAAACAACTTGACCAAAGTTTTGTAGTCCGCAATATCACAGCTTTGTAATCAGATACATGTCAAACATGCTTGACCTGACCTTAATAAATTTAAATCTGACAATTTTTATACGACCGCAAAAATTAAAAAAATTTTGGTCGTATATTGGTATGATGTTGGCGTCGTCGTCATCGTCCGAAGACACATTGGTTTTCGCACTCTAACTTTAGTTTAAGTGAATGGATCTCAATGAAATTTTACCATAAGGTTCAATACCACAAAAGGAAGGTTGGGATTGATTTTGGGGGTTATGGTACCCACAGTTAAGGAATTAGGGGCCAAAAATAAGCATTTTTGTAACTTCCAGACATAACTTGTGTGTAAGTGTATGGATCTCTCTGACATTGAACCACAAGGTTCCATATCACAAAGGGAATGCTGGGATTGATTTTGGGGGTAATTGCCTCCAAATTTTAGGAATTAGGGGCAAAAAAGGGGCAAAAAACAAGCATTTTTCTAGTTTCATGACAATAACTTGTGTGTAAGTGTATGGATCTCTCTGACATTGTATCACAAGGTTCCATATCACAAAGGGAATGCTGGGATTGTTTTGGGGGTAATTACCTCTAAATTTTAGGAATTAGGGGCCAAAAAGGGGGAAAAAAACAAGCATTTTTCTAGTTTCATGACAATAACTTGTGTGAAAGTGTATGGATCTTTATGAAATTGTACTACAAGGTTCCATATCACAAAGGGAAAGCTGGAATTGAGTTTGGGAGTAATTGCCCAAAAAGTTTTGGAATTTGGGGCCAAAAAGGGGCCAAAAATAAGCATTTTTCTAGTTTCCAGACAATAACTTGTGTTCAAATGTATGGATCTCTCTGAAATTGTATTGCAAGGTACCATACCACAAAGGAAAGGCTGGAATTGATTTTGGGGGTAATTCCCTCAAAATTTTAGTAATTAGGGGCCATAAAAGTGCAAAAAAACAAGCATTTTTCTAGTTTCAGGACAATAACTTGTGTGTAAGTGTGTGGATCTTTATGAAATTGTACTACAAGGTTTCATATCACAAAGGGAAAGCTGGGTTTGAATTTGGGGATAATTGCCCTAAACGTTTAGGAATTTAGGGCCAAAAAGGGGCAAAAAAACAAGCATTTTTCTAGTTTCCAGACAATAACTTGTGTTCAAGTGTATGGATCTCTCTGAAATTGTACTGCAAGGTACCATACCACAAAGGGAAAGCTGGGATTGAGTTTGGGGTGATGAATCATAAAGGGGTTCAAAAAATTGGGGGGGGGGGGGATTTTTTTTTCTTTAAAATTTTCCATTTTAAATTGGTTATTTCTGATTTATATATAAAAGCAAATAATAATGATATGGTTTGAATAGGTAAATTAAAAATTTTTAAGTTCTTAGACTACTTTCATTCTGTGTGAGAAACCTATGCTGTGTCAAATATTTAATTACAATCCAAATTCAGTGCTGTATCAAGCTTGAATGTTGTGTCCATACTTGCCCTAACTGTTCAGGGTTCGACCTCTGCGGTCGTATCAAGCTGCGCCCCAGCGGAGCATTTTATTTGTCACTAATGTCATGTTTGACCCAAACTTATCAAGTCCTTTTTTGTTTCACAGGTAAAATAATGAAAATCTATGTTTATATCAGAAAAATCACACACACAGGGCTTACACATGTACATTTATCCCTACAGTTTATATGTACCGATTATCAGGTTGTCTGCATATTGATATTGTAAAATATCAGCTGCGAGTCACAATATGAAGCTTTTTGTCCAGTGAGCGCAGTGAACGAGATCAAAAAGCCTTCATATTGTGTCGAGCAGCTGATATTTTACAATCTCAATATGCAGGTAACCTGATAATCGATTTATCGGACTGTATTTGCGTGTTTTGGAACTGTTTTCTTTGTTTCACCAGCAAACCGGAAGATGACTTGATAAGTTCGGGTCAAACTTATCAATGTCAGTTCAAACATTATGACGTTGCTGATATGTCCGGGTCAAAGTTATTAAGGGCGGGTCAACGTATTTGACATCACAAAGCCGTGATATGCAATTTTATTAAGAGCTGAGCAGAGTGATATAGACAGTGGGACGACCGATAAATATAGTTATTTTTCTATTTCAGATTATACCACAGAGGAGTTAAAGTGAAATTAGTACTCAAGGATTTAGAAATGTCATCATCTTTTCTTGGTTCAGAAAAACATTTAACTTTGTTAGAAGCTGACGCTGTATTATTAGGATTGTTAGACAAACAAGAAAATAGCAGTTTAAAGAAATGATATTACTACCTAATATAGTGTTTCCTTTATTTGTAATGAGGCCAATATAAAGTGTAAGGGGTACATGTACATGTAGACTTATGGTGAGGGACATAACTCTTCCAAATTATCTAAGCTTTTAAATTGGGGTCCTTCATTTCTGTATATATTTTTTTAGGCCATTTTTCTCTAGATTTTATATTTAAGCAGCTTACTATTCTTTATTCTATATTTTTGTTTACCTATATTAAAATAAGAAGATGTGGTATGATTGCCAATGAGACAACTATCCACCAGAGACCAAATGACATAGAAGTTAACAACTAAAGGTCACCATGCGACCTTCAACAATGAGCAAAACCCATACAGTAACACATACATGATATATACACCTATAAAAAGCCCCAAAATGACAATTCAAACGAGGAAACTAAAACCTGATTTATGTACAAAACAAAAAAAGAAAAACAGATATGACAACAGCAACACATGACAACCACTGAGTTACTGGCTACTGGCTTAGGACATAGATATAAGAAGATGTGGTATGAGTGCCAATGAGACAACTCTCCATCCAAGTCAAAATTTAAAAAAGTAAACCATTATAGGTCAAAGTACGGTCTTCAACACACCAAATAGTAAGCTATAAAGGGCCCCAAAAATTACTAGTGTAAAACCATTCAAACGGGAAAACCAATGGTCTAATCTATATAAAAAACGAGAAACACTTATGAACCACATCAACAAACGACAACTACTGAACATCAGATTCCTGACTTTAGGACAGGTGCAAACAAATGCAGCGGGTTTAAACGTTTTAATGGTACCAAACCTTCACCCTTTTTCTGAAACAATAGTGTAACATCACAACATAGAAAGACACACTATAAAATGCACATACAGAATGTGGCAGTGTTAAAATTAGTTGCTGGCGCTAAAACCTCCCCATAAACTATGACAGTGGTTTAGCAGAACAACATAAGAACAAACTATAAAAATCAGTCGCAAAGGGCTCAACTTATCAGGCTATAGGCTATTTTTCTATATTGTTATTTCTGTTTTTTTGCCATTTTATTCTACATGTTTTTCCCTATCAATAACCCTATTCTGTGAACTCCTTCTAGATCTTATTATCTGGCAGGTTTGTGTCAAACTGTTTTACAAGTATATTGTAAGCTTCTAATGTTGTCTGAGAAAAACAGATTAATTCAAAAGTTGTTGATGAAACTGACTATATAGCCATATAAAATAAGGAGTGTGATATAATTAGGAAATGGCTCGCTAAGTACAGTATGTCTGTAAGGTAACATAAAAACGAATTGGATACACCTGATGCTGCAGTAATTCAAACATAACTAACCAACAGCTGCATATTGCATGACAGAGCTCCAGTTTTCCATGTATTGTGTAGGGTTTCCGTCAAATATTGAACCCTTTCTGTCATCTCTGAATTGGTGTTTTGAAACCCTCTATAATTTTTTATATACATTTGGAATTGGAAAACACTGGAAAGGATGGCTTTCTTATTTATACTCAAAAGTAGTAGGGGTTCATGATTTTCCAAAAGAGGGTTCAACAAAGATTTTCCTGCAAGGAGCGAATTATTTAGTAAATTGGAAATCCCATTTTGTAGTAAGTGCTACAGAAATGTCATGTTTTTGCAAATTTCAGTTTTTATTTTTACTATCTTCATGATCTTGAAGACTATAACAGATAGAGAGAAACATTTGGCAGTGAAAATGACCAGTACGATAAGATCTTTGAATAATTAAACTTGGCAGAAATCGTCAAATAACCCCCTAGAGGAGTTATTGTCTTAAAATTATGATTTTTACCCATTTCACTTTTTTTTGGAAACTGAAGTTCATAGAATCTGTCGATGGTAAACATGTCCAACAAAATAAGATCTACAAGGAAGTGTCGTCAATTGACCCCTTATAGAAGTTATTGCCTATAAAAGATTAATTTTTGGCGTTTTTTTTTTTATCAGAAACTATAATAGAGAGAAATTGTAAAAAGCAAAAGTGTTCAGCAAAATCTTAAGCACAATAATTTCGACAAATAAGTCAACATGTGATTGTCCGAAATAGTCAACTGGCGCCTTTTAGGAGTTATTGCCCCTGAATGAAAATGTTTACCCAATATATGATTTTTTGCAGAAACAAAGATCGACCGCAACAATATTTAGCAATTAAATTTTTCACCAAAGTAAGATCTACAAATGAGTCAACATCGTTTCAGGCTTTTTGGGAGCCTCTTGTATAATTTATACTATTAAATTAGTATGAATTGAATCTTTGTAAAATTGAATTAGGAACTTGATAAATTATGTGATTTAAAAGCAATTATAATTTTAGGATTACTTAAATCGCGGGTTAAATCGCTGTTCATTTTAAAGTTTGGGTTATGTCCCTTCCTACGATTTGAGAATAGAATATATATGCGACTCGTTCATTAGAAATTCTTTTCAATTTGTATAGAAAACTATTTATGCTTAGAAGTTAAAATTTAACACTTAATTTGAATTATCATTTCTTTAGGTCCTGGATATCTTATAATAAACTTTTTTACTATATGATCCGATCATGAAAAACTTGAGTAAACTAAAACAAATACCATCTGAAAAAACCCTAATAAATCTGCGCAATGTCTCATGACTTGAAAAAGTTTAACTTTTTGAGTATAATCCCGAAATATCTTACGTTTCGGGATCCTGCAGAACAAATCTGCTACCACTAACATAAAAATAGAAATAAAATAACGAAACCTACCTTTTTTTTTGCGAATTTAACGAATTTTTGAAGTATCAAGATTTAATATTTTGAAAAATAAATTTAAAGACAAAAACCGACAAGCTTATAGACAAAAACCGACAAGCTTATTTAGGAAAAGAGACAAATAGGTAAAATTGGAACTTTCAATTCTGCATCTTTTTAGTCACACATTTTCTTAAGATTAACTTCAAATCCATCAATACCACATAAGGTTAAATTTGATGGCTTGTTATAGCCGGAAACATTTTGTTTTGCACAGTTACTAAAACTAGTTAATATTGGCCACGTCAAGGTCTAGGAAATTTCCAGATATTTGAATAGATAGGTAGACCAATTTTTACCGAATTTTTTTCATACACAAGTGCCATTTACTAAATATCTTTCAATCTTTATAAAGATTTACATTATCACAGTTTCAAGCTACAAAATTGTATCTCGACTAGGATTGCAGGTTATCTCCTGCTCCCTGCACCAAATAAAACTGTCTGCCAAGTGGACTTAAAGTGGCGTTAAACACCAACACTTTTTTTTATTAATTCTTAAATCAAAGAGATTCGTGTGAATTCCATATACATGCATTGAGATATATAATTATGTATAAAATAAATTGTCGGTAATTTATATGTATATTACCTGTGTAGTTTAATAGTAGCACTGTACCACAGTAGTGGATTTGGTCACCACATACTTCTTATTTCAGTTTTAAAAAAATGTTGACGCCATCCATCTATTATTATATCATATGGGAGAGGAATTTGTAAAAGTGAAAATTCACTTGTTTGTCAATCCTAATAAAACTGTCATATTGTAATGTTTCCGTTTATATTTTCAAAAGAAAATATTGTTTACACTAAAGATGGCCAATTTTACAAATATTTACGGGAAAAAACCATGAAAACAGACTAACAGACCAACACTCCAAGGTAAAGCTATGTGTTGTCTATCAGATACAAACTTTACGTCACTTTCATTGGTGATATAAAAAAAAAATTGCACATGAATGACCTACAATTTGTATCATGGTAAATTCCACTGATTTTACTATAAAAAAATCAGCAAAAACTTGCAATTATTCCTCTTCCAATATTTTACACAAATCTAGGAGAGCTAATCCCAATTTATACCATATTTGCTTTTGTTTCAAAAAAACTTTGTCGTATGTTCTTTATACCCAACTTTGTCTGGACTTAAAAAATATATACAAGCTTGTCAATTTTTAAAGGACTTGTTGCAACCATTAGAGGTCCCTTTCCTTACATTTTATATATTTTTGATATTTGGATAATTGACTGTTAATGGCATGTTTCTTGGTTGTTTCTGTTACATTGTCTCACAACTTTTTTTATAGAGTACGTGGGAACTATTTTAACAGTGCCTGGTTGACATAATTACGTGACATAATTGCGTGAGCATAATGTATAGACGCTAGATTGTCCCTTATTAAATACCGTATTTTGACTTCGACATTTATTCTGGTTATTTATGTTGTTGATCTGCTTTCCTCATTGATGTATACATGTACCCACATCTTCTTTTAAAGCCGCCTTGCAGGTTTCGTAATTTGTGTGGTCGCGGATAAACAAAAAAACTTGGAAATTGGTATAAATTGCAACTTCTCCGCCAAGAACGTTACGTTTAGGAGTTAAAGCAAAGACTGGTCGGTTCAAAATAATGTGTCTGGGTAGAGTGACATATCTTTCTGTGCACAGTAACTTTGTGAACTAGCACGTTAAAAACCCGGCTAGGTGAGTCGATCTAATAAAGCAGGATTCATATTTATATCACAATAACATGTTTTCGTCCTTAATATGCATATAATTTGCCACTGTACGTTACACAGTCATCTATTTCATTTCGATTGATTGATTGCACTGAAAAAAATACCTAGTAAAGATTACTAGTTTGGCTAGTACTTCATTAAAAGTCCCTAGTAGATTACCAAACAACTAATTAGACTAGTATGTTTACGGTACATTAGGGAAATAGCTATAAGAAATTGCACTGCTATGTCACTATACATACAAATAAAAAAAAAGGATTCCTTATCTGTACCATAACTAGCTAGGTTAGAAAAAGTACCATATGAGGATGACCTGGTACCTGTACTTATAGCTAGTAAAGTTACTAGTTGAATGAGGTATTCCTACTAGGAAATGTTTGTAGAATTACTTAAAGCTAGTAGAATCACTAGTCTTACCATGTATTTGCCACTAGGAAGACCTAGTTATGTTACTAAAAGGTAGTAATATTACCTATTCAGAATAGTAAACTCACCCAGCAGCCTAGCAAAAATTACTAGGGACACATGATGTAATTACTAAGTAGCCTAGTAAATTTACTTTGGAGGCCTAGTATAATTACTAGGTAGGCTAGTAAATATACTTCTGGCCTAGTAATCTCATGGACAGTAAGTTTACTAGTTTACCTAGTAGAGATTACTAGGTATTTTTTTCAGTGTGTATGATTGTTGTTTAACGCCACTTTCAGCACTTTTGTGCTATTTCGTGGCGGTCAGTTTTAATTGGCGGAAGAAATCGGAGTGCCCGGGGAGAACCACTGACCTTCGGTAGGAAAACTGACAATCCTAGTCAATTAAGATTGGAGTCGAGCGCACCTGCCACGTTCGGGATTCGAACTCACAACCTCAGTGTTGACAGGCTACTGAGACAGTAGTTCGACTACTTGGACCACTCGGCCACCGAGGCCTCCATTTCGTTTCAAAGGAGTGGGGTAGAGTACATCATAAATACAATTTAAGGTTTTAAATAAAACATCTTTTGAATTATAAATCATTTTATTATGCACCTGTCATTCAAAATGTTAAACATAATTATCAAAGCCTTAAATAAAACAACCAAAAGCACAGCAAGAAGTTAAAATACAACTGTACCGCTTTGTCTCAATGTATAAAAAATAATCTAAAGAAATCAAGAACTAAATTATGAACGGAATAAGACAAAATTTGAAAACATTTCAGATAAATGTATATTGGAGCAAAACAATATACATAACGAAAAACAAATAGATATAGACCAATTTAATATTTTGACTAATTTCAACCAAAAACAAAAAAAATGAATTTATAACTACATTATAAATGAATTTGGTATGCTATGTTACGAATCATTTTCAGCGACTTCAAATATAAAAACTACTGTAAAAGTATCGAAATCGTCCAGATCTATTAATTTATATATGTTAGTACAATATAAAAATTACAAAAGCAGCACTTGTTGGTTTTAGAAAACTTTAAATTAAGGCAATCACAAAACAATTATTGTTATCTTAAAAGGGAAAACAAATGTATAAGACAAAAATCAACAAAATGTAAAAAAAAAGCAACTGAAAAAATAACACAACGAAACAATAAATAAAAAAATACGGAACTAATATAACAAACAAAAGCGTTGTGAAAAACCTGGTACCAAGTTTCCTAACTAAAAATAGCTGTAGTCAAATTCTTTGAAATTAACTTTAAATTATTTAGGATACATCATGAGAACCAAGAGGTATCTGTATTGTGACGTGAAGTAACAAAATGATAATTTTAGGGGAATTTATTTCTACTACGATAATGTCTTTATCCTAAATTAATTATTTGGATTAAAATAATTGCACGAAAAGACTCCTTTCTCTGGAACGTACCAGAAATTTATCTTTTAAAAGAATGGATACAGACAATTCCAAAAACAAATTTTTTTAGTAAAAAAAAATGACATTAAAGTAAACATATTACACAAATGCATGGAGTTTATATAAACAATTCAAAATAGTGTATTATTAATCTTGCATAGCACTTGTTTTGAGCACAAATAACAATGTAAAAAGTCAATTCTTCACAACACCAACAATATGTACAAATATGTATAAAAATCGTTGTAATTATATTGCATAAATCCCGAAAATGGCACTTTTTGATTAAAAATATACAATGAATTTGTTGCTGCCTTTTGAATATCATAAACATTTCAAAATGGAAGACGTTTACGTCGTTGAAAAATATCAAATACCACAGAAAAATCTGTTTGTCAATAAAAACTAAGAGGGTTGCTAAAGGGGATATGTAAAATACAAACTTTCATTTCAAGATGAATGCCCTCAAAATTTGTCATTTTCTGAATAATTTCATACTTGCACCGAATATGACAAACAACGGTGCCTTAAGCACGTGAAAAATGGCAAATATATTGCAAATATAATAATCCTTTACTACCCTCAATCTTTATATATACATGTTTTTCTTCTAATACAGTAAGCCTTGTTTTCCGTAAACATGATAAACAATCACAAAGTCATAAAAAGCGCGGGAATCTAATAAGCAAGCTCACTACCCCATGGTCTGTAGGGTTTTGATGAATTGAGGTCATATCCGTTTGCACCGTTCTGTGACATCATTGATTGCATAGATTGCATAGGGTTCATGTTAAACGACATCGGAAGTTGTCTATGTAATTGCGGAATGGAGGGAATAAGAGATGATGATGGTTGCTGATTGGTCGAATTCATCGAGCCCATTTGATGATGGGACTGGATATTTCCGCCGCCGCTTAATCGCATATTGCCTTGAATGGAAGATGGCGGTTGGATGTCACTATGTGAAAGTCTTGAATCTGTAAAGGCACTACTTGATAATCCATGATGGGTTGTTTGTGGGGTCATGGCAAGCTCTGATTGGCTGTTTTGTTGTGTTGTCACCATTGAACCCATCGTCGAAACCGTGCTGCTACCATATTGGCTGTTTATTGTCGGGTGAGGTGAAACGGAGTTCCACGAATTTTGGAATGTAGTTTTGGAAACGATTTCTCGTTGTGCAGTATAACATTGAAGATGACCCAACAGACGCATTCTGAGAGGATCCTGAAGGTCCATGCCTTCTACTGCTACAAGATATCTGGCAACCTCTGAAGCACACTCACGAAATCCCACTGATCTATAATCAGCCGTTAAATGAGGGTCTGGATAATTGTAGCTGTTCAGACCTGAAAGTAAAAAACAATAAGTTAATAAAACCCATTAGAACTAAAGATGAAAAAGTATCATTTTGTCCTTTATACTGATTGAAGGTGTTAAATACTAGTACATAAATCGAAATATAATTCAATTATCTGAATCCAATATAATTTAAACATGTAAACCCAGATCCCTTGCGCCGAAAAGAGCTGGCCTTCTATTCTTAAAATATTTCCTCTTATTCTAAATGACGCGTTTCAAATCTTAGTTAAAATACTGTCTTCGGAACGGGTATGAAATTCAACAGAAGAACAGCTATGCATTGATGCTTTTAAGATGCAATACGAAGAAACTCTTGACCATAACAGCTTTATTAATTCATGTTTTTATTTTAAACAATTACAAAATATAAATACGTTTAGCAATATTGGTAACACATACCTTTCTGGTGTAGCATTTTCAAATGATCAACCGTCATCTGAAGTATTTCTGCTTTTTCAAGTTTTGCTGATCCCTGAAAGTAAAGTAAAATTGTAATATATACCGAAGACATGACATAATTTATAATTCTTGTAAATACATGTAAATGACAAATATATGTACAAATATTTTGTTTATACCCAACTGCAACCCACAATAGCAAAATAAAATTATCAACTTTAGGAATAGGTGGAATGCAATGTAATGGGAATCAAATGCAGAAAACCTATTACTGGTTTCCGTGGCATTAAGATTCATAGACCGCTAATCAATAAAAAAAGGGAAGAGATACTTCGGTAAAAGTCAAAAATCGTAAGTCGAATGAAAACAGATAATAATATGACCAAAAAAAAAGAGTGTGCTTCGCGACACAAATAGCAGACAACCGAAAATGTTATATCAAAGAATGAAATACAGTGTGTTAGTACAAACGTCTGCATGTGCATAGACTACATCGTAATTACTCCATGTATAGTAAATAACATTATTGTACTGTATATAAAAGTTTGCATTTGTTTCAAATGTTTATACACCTTTTTCTTTCAATGTACAATATATACTTATGACTGTGCAATGTACATGGTGTATAGTTGTTATTTAATTAACGACCAGTGGCAAATATTTCATGCATGTTCAAGATAATGCAAAGTATGAATAACAAGAAGATGTTATGTAAACACCAAAGACATGTTAACCTAGCAATACAAATCGCTAAAATAAATATAGAGGCCAACAAACTATAAGGTCAATGCAATATAAATTGGGAATTTACCTGTTTTTCAAAAGCAGACGGCACCAAGCGTCTCAGTTCTGATAAACTACTGTTAATTCTGTCTCTTCGCCTCTTTTCTATCACCTGAAAAAAGATATAACCGTTTAAAATTGGAATTTATAACAAATTTTATATAAGTAATCGTTTCGTGAATGTAAAATGAGTTTAACGAGGCGAGGCATATTTCTCATAAATTTGATTAATAACGAAGTGTCACCGAAATTATTTTATTAGTAGTTTGAAAAGACCAGTTATCTTTTCGTGATGCAATATATGCATTTGAGAAAAGGGAAGGGTTGTTCATGAGGGTCTGGATGGGGTTTACAGAATAGAGAAAATAGTCAAAATGTGCAGAATAATGGACCAAAAATATAAAGAATAGAGAAAAATGGGCTTAAAATTTAAATAATACAGAAATGAAGGACCCCATCTACACCCTCTTAAATACGACTCGACCCAACGTTTCGTTGAACAAAATGTGAGGGGAGAGGGGAGAAATGTCTTAATATTCGCCTCGTCATTTAACCTATCTGTATGATTCTCAGAAATTATAACATGCTTATAAATATCCAGCTTTCCCAACTCCTTAAAAATGAATTTGTTTCTGCGCCAAGAATTAAAATAATATGCATTAACTTGTATATCTACCTACCCCTCGTCTTTTCTTTCTATCTGATACCTGACAGCTTTGAGACGGCGAACTGTAATAAAAGAAACAAACAAATATATAATATCAGTCTATTAAATTATACTTCATGCACAACGATGTAAAAAGAGTGAAACGTTGGAGGTATTCATTCTAAGTTTAAATTTAAGTGTTTTTTTCTAGACAACGCTTTCTCTATTTTCTCGGCCCGTAGTTTCACAGATAAATATTTAAAGTAAACAATTCTTTTTTTAATCATATATTTTGAGCATTGGAAGACAGAAGATTAAAATGCGGCAGTCACGATTTGTGCAAGGACCGTGTGAAAGTATGCAAAAATGTGCAGCCAAGGTTAACATCTGTGAAATCATCCCACGGAACAATTTCTCCGTGTTTCTAATTATCTAATGACCGTGGGAAAATTTCGGTACAACAAAACGGTAAAATAAATTACAAGTTTAAATGTTCAATTTCACTTTCATACGATCTTTAATTAAAGGAGAACAGTTGTACAGAACATTGTTTACTGTCATTTTGTGTTGGATTTGACCGACTGTATTTGTTGCCAATATTGAAATACGGGGTAAATCTGTGAAAATAAAATTGGAGATGAATGACTGATAAACTTGTATCAATCGATTTTCAAGACCAGGTGATAAATTTCAAACACAAATATTTAAACTTGAAAGTCAAGTCATTTGTATAAAAGCTTCACAACTAAATGTTCATACAATCGTAAATTTAAAATAGCAGAAATTTTGACTAAATTATTTCGTAATAGTTATCATTTATTTGAGAATACACTTTATTTCTGCCTCGTTTATCAAAGAATTATTATTAATGCATTTCAATACATCTGTTTCAGATCGCGATATTAAGTCCTCATTAACATTATCATATTGTTAGTATATGTTGCATATCGGTGCAAACATATTTTTCCTCTTATCATTAAATTTCTCAGGAAGCTTGTCTTACAACTTAATTAAAATTCATTTGTTTATTTTAGTATTTGTTTAATTGCTTCGTCAGTATGACATCAAATATAAAATAAATATATTTATAAATCGTCTGGGAAAATCTCAAATTAAAATATATCTACAGCAAAGCATGGTTTAATCGGAGTACAATCAAATAATCCCTATTTGTTTCTTTTTAATTTGAAAAACAATACAATTAAATCTTACGATGATAAAATCTAACATCGATAAATCCTTTTGACTCGTCAGATCACGACCTGCCAAATTTCTTAATTTCCCAATTCTCCGGTCAATACACAAAGAAATTATCTAATTAGATAAAATTATGGAACTAATGAACTTAATTGTTCTTATTCAGGAAATTAGCATGTAAGTAGCCAAGTGTCATGCCGCTTGTTATTGATAATGTGCCCATGTCGACCTCATGCGGTCACGTGCATCAAGTAAATAAATAAATTTCTGCAATACACAACTTACCTTGCTTTCATGCTTTCGTCATAAAGATCATCACTGTCGCTGTCACTTAAGCTCCGTTTCATTGTTCTATAACGGGAAGCTAACTTTGTAAAAAATAAAACTTTAAGCGGATGTAGGTCCTTCCTGGACGGTGGTCGAATAAAACTGAACTCGTGTTTCCCACGGTATAGCCCATTAAAACTTTGTCCGAGGATTATTTACACACCGCCCATCGTTTGTTGCAGTGTATTGATTGACAGATAAACAGCCGCTAGACATGCGTACAGACTGCCGGTGTGCTGCTCACACGCGATACGATTGGCTGTCGTATGTCATGCATTCGTCAGATGTTAGGCCCCGTGTCATGCATACTAAACACGTAAACAAGGATGACATGTGCTTTGACACCGTTAATGCGTTTGCCAATACATGTGTTATTAGTGCCACACGTCAAAATTATTGATCAAAGTGAGTCGCAAGGTGAAGTCTTAAATCAATAATGTATCTTAGGCATCATCAACAGCTTTATTTCCGTAAATCTTATTATGCGGCAAATATTAAAAAATAAAAAAATAAAAACACGTTTTGACGGCAACACTAAATATACATGATGCGGACCTACCTGCTGTTTGGGATAACGACATACGTCATCCACGCGCGGGTCGTGGGAAACCGACTGCTACTGCTTTTCCAGATTAGCAGCAATATTATGACGGAGGTTGTATAAAGAAAATCAACACTCTAGGTTTAATTTGATTACAAGGAAAAGGACCACAGGAAGAGATTGGTGATGGAATGGCACGATTAAAAGAAATAAAGAAAAGACTAACTAAATTTGAGGACTAGAGTCAGTCACTTTGGTAGATATATCCTTTGGTATCCCCTTATAATGATTGAATGTTTTTCATGTAATTTTTATCAAACGACTACCGTTCAAAAGTCCCGTGTGAACCTGACTTTGTATCTGTAAATAATTGATATATTAGTACTGGAGTGTTTAAATATTCTATTTACTTTGTCAAGTCGGTATTGAAATAGTATTTTTACTGTGAAAAGTATTATTTGTAAACATAGTCTGGAATAGAAGCCTTAACATTTTTTTAGTCGATATTAATATCACTTATGTTATTTATTGACAAAGTAATATTTTGGTTGAGTTAAACTTATTGAGATATTTTCCACGTATTGTCGAATGTTGTGTCATTTAATTTGTTTTGAGTTTTTTTTTCTTGACTTTTCTTGAAGGTGTTTTTTAAATATTTATATAAATTTGTATCGTGATTATAATAAATACACAACATGTATGATGAGCAATATTTTCTTGTGTCCATATTTCTTAATTATTAAACTAATGTAGTTAATTGTCCGTGTTTTTGCAATAACTTCCAATGTTAAATAGCATTTTTTCATATTGTATTACTTTTAAATAATGCATGCTTAGTATAAATTGTTCATTTATCATGTTTATCTTGACGGATCGAGATTTATGTTGATTTTTTAAATTTGTTAAAATTTGATCTTCCTTCGTGATTTTTAGTTTTAAAGACATATATTTAGAAATTATGTACAAGATGTGCTATTCCGATTAAAATCCTTACACACGCCAATAAAGTTCGTTCTATTGACTACTACTTTTGGAGACCAAATCCTGATCAGCCAAAATTAGCTTATTTATCGTCAAAGGCCAGCGTTTTCTCACCGAATTGTTTTCATTGTTTTCATTGCTCTTCAACTTCGAGCGTCACTGATGAGTCTTTTGTAGACGAAACGTGCGTCTGGTGCAAATACAAAATTTCATTTCTGGTATCTATCGATGAGTTTATTTACACAAGAAAAAAAAATATTACAAATTTACCTTATATTGCTGTCACAAATGAGTTAAAAATTTGAAAGTTTTCGAGAACGACTGGAATTTACTTAGAAAAAAAAGTATAAAAAAGAAGAAAATTTGTCTGCGTTTTTGCATCCATAAAATAAGAATGTTATTTTCACCAATAATCAGAATAAGTTCATAAATTGTTTGATATTTGAAAGACAATGCTGAGATTTTCTGCCGACGAAGTTTAAGTTTAAAATGTTCATATCTGTTTTGGATAAGCACTCACAGTTATTAGCAAAATCTTCCAGAATTGCAGTTTAGAACCATGTTTAACCATTTTATATACGCGTGTTACTTGTACAGAAAACACCACATTATGCTGACAAAATAAATATGTAAAAAAAGACACATATAGTTGTGTTACTGAATCATTTAGTAAAGAATGCTGAATTTTGTAAAATGATCCATGTACTTAAACAACCCAAAGTATGACTGTATATATCCACTACTCTATGGAAATTATATGTTACTTTTACTCTGCAGACTTGATTGATCCTTCAACCCGTAATGCAGATACAAAAGTAAAATTTAGAACTGAACTAAACAATGTATACATTTATCAGTTTAACTTTAAAAAAATATATGAGCCAAAACAATATGCGTTGGAAGTAGCAAACTATATTATAAATTACCTTCTAACCTAAATTAGATGTTCTGCTTTTTGCATAACTTATTATCTCTGTCAATATCGTTTCTGATCCAACTTACCGCTGTTTCGCATCATTTTTTTTGAATATATATAATAATTCAGACCGAAGACCATTTAACTTCAAAAGGGGGGGGGGGGGGGGGGGTTATGGATTTTTCCAAAAAAAAAAAATTCTGATCCCCAATTTGATGAAAAAAATATTCTGGTCAAGCAGATGACAAAAACAAATATTCTGAATCCAGATTTTCCCCATACCTTAAAGTGTTAAATTTTGAAAAAAAATAATTTAATTGATAGCGTCGAAAAACTACAATAAAAATTTGTTTTGACTCAGACAAAAAAACATAATCCCTCACTTAGACAATCTTAAGCTTGCTCCCAAATGACTGTCCATTTAATGTACTTACTCGGGACCAAAATTAAAATATCCTTATACATGTTTTGATTATTAGAGGGTCGAAAAGAGTCTTTATTGTTTAAATACTAAAACATGACAACACACATATATCGTCATCTAAATTAAGCTCTCTTTTTTTGTGTTTTTTTATGTCTTTTTTCAAATAATTTTCTGTCCAATTTCTTAAAATGTAGAAATAATATTCAATGTATGCTTGGTTTTATTGATTGTCTATATATTTTAAATGGAGAAAACTTCATATTTCCGTTTGACTTATATCTAAGCCAATTTGTATTTGAGCAAATAGCAAATGTTTAAACTTATTAATTAAGGGGAAATTGGTCATAACTCTCTTACGATTACACTAAAAAATATGGTAACATAATAAAATAATCCCAGCATTAAAATCCTATTTTAATACTGTAACTGATAAATTAAAACCATGAACTAATCTAAGTAACCTATAACTCAGGTTAAAAAGGTAGTCAAATTCACCAGAAGTACAAACACAAATAGAATGCAGACTGTTTTAAAAGTTTTGTGATTTTACCGTTTAAAGTTAGCAGTTATACATTTGAGCAGTTCTGTACTTTTGTATCTTATATATATACCCACTTCACAACATTTATTTTGTTACTATTTGAAATATCCTTTGAATTATCTATAGAGATATAGGACTATTTTTATAGTTATAGAGTTTTACCCTTATTTAATAAAAAGTAAGATAAAATCCGAATAATCCTAACTGTTCATGTTTTTTTTTTCTTAATTAAAAATATCTGATGATATTAAAAATGGAAATCTCTGTTTATTTTAGAACACTTAATCGTAATATTTACTCATTTTTTTTTTCATTCTGTCACTTTTTCTTATAGATAGTGTCAGATCAGTTTTATCCTAATTTTATTTATTTATGCCTATTTTATTCAAATTTATATACCCAATACAAAAATAACTTTAAATAAATTTGAAATATCTTTTTAAAGTATTGAACCATGAAAGTGTCAACTCATACCTCCCACCTGCCTGTTTGAATTAATAAACACCTGTATCGATTGACACTGACAATACACGTGTACAAGGTATGAATTTACCGTTATGTTTATAAATTGTTAAAGATATGCCCGAAGGTACTTGTACTTCACATTATTATAACACCATTAGGAATAAAAGATACTTATACTGTGATAATATTTGTAAACAAAGTCAATTGTATTCTGTATAAAGGAAATGGGCTGTACAGTATATGATATATTTCAGAAATTGTTATTCAATATCTAATGAACCCATAATCATAATAATGAAATAGACATATCTAAATTTGGATACTTTCTTGGGAAATAAAAATTAAAGACTGAAACACATTTAAGCCTACATTTAATATTATATGATCTGGATTTGTGTAACGATTTTGAGTTATATATAAGGTTTAAAGTTGTTCACGAGAATTATACTTTTACAAACACATTTTTTATGTAAGAATATAGCCAATCGCACGGGGAAATAGGAATAAAATGTGTTTAAAATATTACATGTAAAAATATATAATTTTTAATGTCAATATTTATTCTAAAATGTATAATTAACTCTAAACCGTAGTTATTCATTTCAATTCTTGCTTCAGAATAGGAAGTCAGATTAAAAGGATTTCCATATAATTATCAAAGTTGCTAGTTTATATAATTAAAATATAAAGAGACTCGGTGTGATAAGAATAATTTTTTTCAATTGATCAAAATGAATAAGAGAGAGGTTTTACTTTCTGTTTTAAACATATATTGACAAATAACAACAAGATTAGTTATCAATATGAAAACGGACGACAGTTCTCAAAACCGCTTAATTCATTGTATGTGTCTTTATTCAAAACGCCATCACATGACGTATAAAATATTATAAAGAATGTCCGAATTGTTAGTTTGTTTTTGTGTTTCTTTTCATTTATGTTTGTTTATTTGTATGTATTTATTGTAAGAATATACCGCGTACTATCATAATAATGCAGTTTGCAAAGTAGTGTGTGACCACAATTATGCAGTACAAATAATACTTAATTTGAAAGGCATGAGGAAGTAGGAAATTTTCTTCATCAGATACAAAATTATTTCAAATCTCAACTGTATAAAACCAGGCTTTTTCATGTTTTGAATTGTAAAGTTTTTTTTTTATTGTTTTCTTAAGAGTTAATCGCACTCTGTTGTTGACGCATATTATACAAAGCAATATATTTTGACATGCGTTTAAAAGGTGACATCAGAATTAATTCTCTATCTACTTAGAGATTGATATAGCCTCAGA